AATAATGGGACATCCCAGGGGTCTGTGGTACTTAGGTAAAGAGAAAGACGACAAAGGTAATTCTTCCAGGCTCTAACTCAGCATGCTACAACCCCTTGCTAGGTGGGTGACTTTGTAACTCACAGGGTTCTTAGAACACTGGAGGATTTGTTTGATAAAATCACTGCTTATGAATAAGATGTAAAGGAAGTACAATGGGGATGAAGAATGTATTTTTCAGTTTTTTGGAAGCAGTGCTAATGTTTTGGGAAACCATGAGCATTGTGGAGTACCTACCATTTCACAATAAATGGAAATATAATGGCTTTCATCCCTATCACCTGGATTTTTATGTACAGCTTTGAAAAATGTAATAAAATTACATCAAACTTTTACTTGGAACACCTTTTTTTCAACCTTTGAATGACTTTTGTTGAAAATTTCCCAATGAGAATCAAAATAAAAATCAAACTTTTAAACTTCTAACTAAAGGCATGCATGTAAAAATTGAAACAAAATTAGGGCTTCCAGGGTGGCTCAGATGGTTAAAAATCTGCCTGCAATGCGGGAGACCTAGGTTCAATCCCTGGGTTGGGAAGATCCCCTGGAGGATGAAATGGCAACTCACTCCAGTATTCTTGCCTGGAGAATGCCATGGACGGAGGAGCCTGGCGGGCTACAGTCCATGGGTTTGCAGACTCAGACACGACTGAGGGGCTTTCACTTTAGCGGTGAAATGTGTCCCACTGTGGAATGTGGGGCTTGCCATACGACTTGTGGGATCTTAGTTTCCCCAACCAGGAATTGAACTTGTGGCTCATGCACTACAAGCCCAGAGTTTTAACCACTGGACTGCCAGGGAAGTCCCAATGTTATTATGCAATAACCTAGTGCTCTTTTTCATGATTGGAGTTATGTTTTATGTCTGGCTAAAAATGGGCAGGAATAGAATTTTCCCAGAAATGTATCCAACCTGCTGGACTGTGGAATTCATAATATATGTTTTGTCTAAGCTCTGTAATGTTCTTATGTGAAGTTCATTTACAAATCTAAGATTTTAATTGGCTGTTGCTTTTATTGGGTAGCATAATTCTACTAAATTACATACCACTATTTAAGAATACTAAAGGTATATTTTTCCACTGTAGAAAATACATTTTAAATCATTTTAACCCACTATGAACATTTTGATAGTAGCTTTTAGAGGCCCCTCATAAAGCATTTCTATAAAGCAATAAGGCTGGGCAGTGTTTGAACACAGGGTAATAATTCATACCAATTATATTGCTAAACATAAGGTCTCAGGCCTGGTCATATATCATAATTCATACCTTATGGTCTGATAGCAATTAAAATACCATCATTAAATATACTGCAAACATACATATTTGTTGAAATCTTGCTTATGTGGAATAACATTCTGTGCTTTATTACCCAGAATAGCACCCCTGTTTATTATCCTGACAACGCTGCAATTACTAGAGAACCACTTTGAGAGTACCTTTAATACCCCCTCAGACTCGGACTTTATCTCATATCATCACAACTATTAATTTTGTTATTAATAATACTATCATGGCTATGAACGTTTTGCATCTTGGCTGATTTTTCTATCACGTAAGTGGAGCAGGTACGACCTGCTGGGTGTAGGGTGGTGAAGAACACTGAAATCTCTTCACCGTGTGGAGAAGACTTGTGCTGACTGAGTCAGGAGACTGTTTCAGAAAGTCGTCCAGGGGTTTGGCCTTTAGCTGTAGAAGATGAATGACCTTAGATGAGACAAGAGGATTCAGTTCACTTCAGTCTCTCAGTCGTGTCCGACTCTTTGCGACCCCATGGACTGCAGCATGCCAGGCCTCCCTGTCCNCTTCAGTCTCTCAGTCGTGTCCGACTCTTTGCGACCCCATGGACTGCAGCATGCCAGGCCTCCCTGTCCATCACCAGCTCCCGGAGTCCACCCAAACTCATGTACATTGAGTCAGTGATGCCACCCAACCTTTCATTCTCTGTCATCCCCTTCTCCTCCTATCCTCAACCTTTCTCATCATCAGGGTCATTTCCAATGAGTCAGTTCTTCACATCAGGTAGCCAAAGTATTGGAGTTTCAGCTTCAACATCAGTCGTTCCAATGAAAACCCTGACCTCCTTTAGGATGGACTGGTTGGATCTCCTTGAAGTCCAATGGACTCTCAAGAGTCTTCTCCAACACCACAGTTCAAAAGCATCAATTCTTCAGTGCAAAAGGATCACTAGATATTAAATATTTATTACTGCATCACTCCAGGTGCCCTGAGCAGGTGATGGTCAGGATCAGATTGTAATCACACGAGTCCTAAACTGTGACCAGGTTAATAGAGCAGACAGTGTATCATTTGGATCCACACGCTCCTGGGAGGCTAGCTTCAAGGACAGCTCCCCTGTCACAGGTCTCCACCAGAGCTATAGCAACAGTGCATCCTCCAAAAGACCATTTAATGACGTTTCTTGAGATAGACTTCCATCAATAAGTATAGAGTTTCAGTCTATCAGGTTCCAATGGCCCAGGATTTGGAACCGTGAAGAGGGTTTATATTCTGACAGCACCCTTAAAGCTCCGAGCTTCAATTCAGGGTCAATACTCAGATGATGAGAATTATCAGGAAGGCATAGGTCAGTGTCAGGATGGGAATGCCACGTGCAAAGCAGCTGAAACAGTCACAGCCAGGGCTCTACGCACATTTGAAACAAGTTCTCACAGGTCGAATGCCCGAACCGTTCACTCTTCGCTCTGCTCTAAATAAAAACACCATGTGTTAGGGACAGAGATCCAGTTCACCCCTTTAATCCGACCAGGGGCACGGAGTACCTTTGGTGTGAAGGTGCGGCCGAGGAAGCCTGTGTATCAAGGAGAGGGCGGTCTCTGTTGTCAGGGGCCGAGGTTCGGAAGGCGGCTGTCAGGAAGAGCGTGAGGCCAGAGAGGGGAGTGAGGCTGGGTGACACCCGCTGAGGTTGTTCGATGTCATCCGCCCTGGTGCCTCTTGCCCACGTCTCGACTGCGCCTTTAGTTTTCTGCGTCCGGATGCTTCCGCATCTGCGCTTGGCGGAGGCTGGAGAAAGGGCGCATCCCCGGGCTGCCCAAGTCCCAGGGACAGAAAACACCCACGACCATCCCAGACCCCACCCCTTCTCCATCCCCTTTCCCATCCCCGACTCCAGACCTCTGTGCCCCTGCTTGGGGCCAGCAGGCGACAACCACTGGCAGCCTCAGCACCTAAGGGCCTCGAAATCCTCCGAACCCATCACTTCTAGACATGCGCGCCTCCCCTCGGCGTTCCTTCCCAGGAAACCCAGGAAACGCTCAGCCCCCCCAGCTCCCGTCCTCCATCTCCTACCCCACCCAGGAGCTTCTCCGCGTGGTCTCCACCCGGTATGCAGTCTGTGAGTACACATGCTCTCTCTCAAGGGAAGGCCTCTCCTGATTTACTTGCCTATCATTATTCCCATATAATCAACATACTATGCCTGTAACTGAAGTATGCCTATCTAGTAGTTGTATATGAATAACCACAAAAATCTCTTAAAACAAACCAGGGCACTTCCCTGGTACTCCAGTGGTTAAGACTTCACCTTCCCACACAAGGTGTGTTGGTTTGATCCTGGGTCGGGGAGCTAACATTCTCATGCCCTGGGGCCAACACCACCCCCCATCCAAAAAAAACAAAAACATAAAACAGAGGCAATATTGCAAGAAAGTCAATGAAGACTTTTAAAACGGTCCACATCAAAAAACCTGTAACATAAACAAACAAAACTCCATTGATTCTGAAGTTTGCAAGGTGCTGTGAGAATGCAGGAAGGGGGGTCTGCTTGCCCCCGCCGATCAGGACGCAGAAGCAGCCTTGGAAAACGCCAATAGCACGTACACCGCCGCGGGAGAAAGAGTTGCACCCTTTTATTGGCAGAGTAACTTGGCAAAGGTGCTATGATTGAAAAGTTCCAGGGTGCAGGACACGCCGGTCCCAGGCCAGCAGAAGCGCACGCGGGAGCGAGGCGGGCGCATCACCGGAGGGGCGGGATTTAGCGCCGGTGAGCGGCCACCGAGCTCGGAGACCACCAGTCTTGTGCCGCGTCACTGCTCAGACCAGCAAATCTCAGCCCACTTGCCGGTACCGTGGAGACCTTTGGCTGTGAGTCCCCTGCATACCCCCCAGCCACGATTCTGAAGCTGCGCTCATTAAAGGTGGGGGGGGGGGGTGCGCATCATTTCCTGTAATCCCTACTTAAGTCAGAGGGTGAAATTTTAATGAAGAGCTCACCATCCATGTGCCCGGCACACAGGACACGGGAAGGAACCGTCTCCCGATCAGTGAACGAAACAGAAGACATCGGACTCGAGCTGTAAGTCGGCAGAGCTTGTCACGGCGAAGCTCAAACAAGGACAGGGTCAGGGTCTCGGGAATTTCAGGTGCTTTACATTAAAAAATTAAAAAAAAAAAAAAAAGGTATGTAGGAAAAAAAAAGTTCTAGAAGTGATTTTTTTAAATCTGTATTTTGAAGAAAGGGAGCACCACCCATGGCATAAAATTATAAAATACAGTAACAAACATGTAAATCACTATCAGGACTGTAATTCCCATACAACACAAACACCTACACAGAAATAAACCCTATGTCCTGGAGAGTGCGTGAGAGGCGAACGACTGGAGGACAGGAAACCCGCGGTGGGACGTGTGAACAGGTGTGCGGTGCGGGCCGCCCTCGCCACCGGCCTCCCCTGCGGTCCACGCCGGGCCTGGCCTTTCCCGCACCACCTGGGGCAGCACGCCCGGGGACCACGGAGCCTGGAGATCAGGGTGTGCCCCGCAGAACGGGTGAGCGCGCGCGCACACACACACACACCCAGGGAACCGCGAGTGTTCGGCCGGGCTGTCTGTGCTTTTGTGCGTCTGTGCAGAGCGCCCCCGGCGTGTATGCGGGCAGCCTCTGTCCGCGAGCTTGGCACCCTCGGGCGGTCTCACCCCGCGAGTCTGCAGGCGGGCCCGTCACAGGGTGGAGTCCCAGAACTCGGGGGGCAGCCTGCGGCAGGGGGCCCCCTCGGGCTTCCTGCACGGAGGCAGGGGAGGCGCCCGGGGCTCCCCGGGGGGCAGGATCTGGGGCCAGTCCCCCCGCTCCTCGCTGAGTCTCCGTCTCCAGTCCAGGAGCTCCCGCAGGGCCACGCTCTCGTTCTCCGACAGCCTCAGCTGGTGGATAACCTGGGGGAGGAACGCAGAAAGAGGGGCATCGGACACTGCGCCAGAGTGAATGGGCAGGGCCAACGTCAGACGCCAGCGCTCTGCTGGCTGGGGAGAGATTTTGAGCATCCCCGGGAGACCTTCCCAGTTCCGCTATCCTGGGAAATGGCATCCTACGGAGAAACTCACTTCTAAACAGCAACCCCGGAAGCCAGAAAACAATGCATCACAGGTTAAAGTGCAGAAAGAAATTCAACCTCGGATTCTAGACTCAATACAAATGTCCCTCAAAACTGAAGGTGAAATAAAAAATGTTTTTGGACAAACAGGAACTAGGAAGTTTCGCTATCACAAGTCTTGCCTATTTTGTGAACCTTAACAAAGCAAGATGAAAAAAATGGAAATTTAAGAAGGAAGTCAGGACCCTGGAATTAAACCCACGGGTAAGCGCAAGTTACGTGTTTGGAATGTTACAGACGTGAAGTTGTATGTAGAACAACACGCCAACAATAGCTGCAAAAGTCAGGAGGGGTCGCGTGGAGCTCAGAGGTTCTGACGTTCTAGAAGTTCTAGGAAAAAGACAAAACTAAAACAATTTAAGATGAAAGTAGGGTTTCCCTGGTGGCTCAGTGGTAAAGAGTCCACCTGTATGCAGGAGACGCAGGTTTGATCCTCGGGTCGGTCGGGAAGACGCCCTGGAGAAGGGCATGGCCACCCAGTCCAGTCTTGCCTGGAGAGTCCCATGGACAGAGGAGCCTGGCGGGCTGCAGCCCCTGGGGGCGCAAAAGAGTCGCAACAACAACAACGATGATGAAGTAAATCAGGATTCACGCTTTATTTCCTAGTGAATGCACAAAAAGAATAATGATAGAATGTGTAATTAACAAATTAATATGAAATGATAAATTTCAGTTACCTAAAAGAAAGGTGCTATATGTATATATATATGTATAGGTGAATACATATATACAGGGGAAGCTATATATATGTCTAGGTGAACAAATATATATATATAGGTGAGCATATACGTGGATATATAGGTGAATATACACCTAGGTGAACATATACGTCTAGGTGAGCATATACATGGATATATAGGTGAATACACACCTAGCTGAACGTATACATAAATGAAGGCCAAGTGCTCAGGAAACAGAGGAGAGCAGAAGAGGACCCAGATCCCCACCCAGCAGTCGGCACTGCTCCTCCTCTGCGCCAGGCTGGCGTGAGCTGTGTCTGCTTTCATACCGGTGTGACCGCACACCCCTCCTCCTACCGAGCACAAAATACCTCCATTCTACAGCTCATCTCCACGCGAAACTCTTTTCAGCAGCTTTCCACCACGACCACAAACACGGAGGAGCCGGGCGAGGTGCGGCTCTCGGCTGAGACCTTCCTAGCAGGGAAGCCCGGGAACCTGAGTCACTCCAGACACACCCTGGCCTGCGGAGAGGGAGGTGTAGGGGCTGCTGACGGGAAGGAGGCTTGGGGGGTGGGGGGGGATTTTGACATAAAATGTCCTAAATCCCCTGAGTCATTGCTTCACTGGAAAAAAAAAAGCTTTCTATCCTTTCAAAGCTTCTCAACGTTTACTAAAAATATCTGAATTCCCAAGCACGTTATAAAAGGTGAAACCTACACACACAAAGCTTTAGAAAGCACTTTCTTAACGAGTATATCGATGTCTTGAATAATGTAGTGGGAACAGAAGAACACCATCTTTGAATCAACCACCAAGAGCTTTCTATGCTTCCTTGATAAGCAAAAAATCTGACTGATGCTTGCAATAATCAACTAATGCTCAGAATAAACCCTCTTATTGAGAGATCCCATGAAACTTAATTCTGTATCACAGAGATTAATAGGTATTGAGTAAAATCTAACAGGTATAGAGAGATAGTTGCCAGAATGGCATAAATGGGATGCTAAAATATTAACATTATTGATCATTTAAAAAAAAACACACAACAAATCTTCACAGGTTATATCTTACATGACGGTTAAAATTCTGTGTAAGGACAAGTGACAGGTCACTACTTGCAACACAGTAAAGTTCAGAGGGCATTTGAAAATGATGACCCATGAGACAGTAAACAGAAGATCAGAAGATGAGGACAGGATGCCCTGTCTAATGATCCTTAAACTGACTTACTTAGATTTATTAAATGTATCAGGCTATGAGGCACAAAGATTGTATTTGTCACAGTGAAGGAGCTTTAATATTTTAGAATAGTGAACAAATGCAACTATGAATGTTATTTAAATGGTGGCCAAGCAACACATGAGGAATACAAAGTATCTGCAATGTTATCCAGCACAGTAAAAACATCTAAATCACTGCTTTATCATTCTTTAAATTTCATGCCCTATTGGTAGTAACAAAACTCTTATAACTTCTCTTATCATTATTTGATATTTCACAAGTAATATCATTAATGATACAGAATAATACACATATTATCATTAAAAAGCCAATAATGGTTTTGTAGAATTTTAGCTTCAGTGTTGAAAGGAAACCATTTCTTTCCAGGAGGAGAAGTGACCCTGGGGGTTAAGGATGTTGATGCTTCTGGGAACCTGGAGTCAGCTGGCATCACCCCAGGTCTCACTCATCCTGACGGGTTTGGAGGATAAAGGATGGCGTACTGGTGTCCTTTAAATTAAATCTTGTTTCTCATTGCTGTAAAAGACATATCTCCAATCCAGGCCACCACTTCAGACAGCTACTTCCTTACTTATTTTCTTATCTGGCATGCTTTATAGAATAGTGTTTGCACAGAAAATCATTCTCTTTCCCAGAACCAGAAGGCAAGAGTTGCAGCTCTGGAAGAATTGTTCCACACCCAGGGACCCTGGGTTCTGCGTGGCCTCACCTCTGGGCTCCATGAAAATGACGAACGCCCTGTCTTTACGGGCACTTCTAGACACGTCAGTCACGTAAGCGTCTCAACACGCTGCATGTGGCGTGGACATGGAGGAGTCAACAGGGGGAGGTTTAATTAAGTTTTCTGTTCTTTGTTTTTACCATTTCCCTGGGAAAAGGGGCTCTACGAAGGAAGGTCTGGAAAGACCTCACAGAGGTGGGAACTTTCAATCTGAATTTTGAAGAATGAAAGGGGCATCAGTAGGAGAGGAGGAAAGAAAAGACTGGGGGAGGCATTTTCACGGGGACGATGTAGACCAGCGCCAGTCATGACACTGAACTTCATTCTCTAACAGGGAGTCACAAACCCACGGGGATCTGGGCTCTGGTATCAGCAGGGATGGGATGGTTGACAAACCAGGACTCTGTAGCCAGGGCGTCTGGACTAGAATCCTGAATCTGCCGCCTGATGGCTACGTAACCTTGAGCATCGGCTTCCTCACCTGTAAGTGGGTTCCCAGTAATCACACCTCCAAAGGACAGGTGCGGGCTACTCGAGTGCCCTAAAAGTGTAATGAGTGTTCTGTGAATGTGGGCCGTTCTGACTGTGTCATTGCTACTAATAACTGCTTGACTTGACAAAATCCCAAAACCTTCTGGTTTATGGTTATCCTCATGACTCAATCAGATAATGTTACATGAAAATAATTTGTGGCTCAGCTCAAACGGTAAAGAATCTGCCTGCAATGCAGGGGACCCAGGTACGATTCCTGGGTCAGGGGGATCCCCTGGAGGAGGGAATGGCAACCCATTCCACTGTTCTTGCCTGGAGAATCCTGCGGACAGAGGAGGTTGGCGGGCTACAGTCCGTGGGGATACAGAGAGTTGGACATAACTGCACGACTAACAAGGAAAACAATATAAAATAGTCTTTCCCTTCCTTATTCATAAGATCTCAAAATAAGAGTGACATACTGGATTTATAACATAGCTGTGACTTATACAGAACTCTAAACTGACACACGAATGATCACATTCTGAAGTCATCTCCCTGTGGGCTGGGATCCTCATCCTTGGACAAAATCTCTTCGTTTCAGCAGTTTTTTAACTAGAAGATTCCTTCACTGAAACAAATCCTTAGAAAATAGTGAAACTAATAACTTTATATGGGGAACAGATGGTTGCTAGACTTAACAAGGTGATCCTTTCATAATATGTGCAAATAGCAAATCATTACACCTTACATAGTATAGTAAGTCAACTGCATTTCAGTNAATAGCAAATCATTACACCTTACATAGTATAGTAAGTCAACTGCATTTCAGTAAAAGCCAAAAAAAAAAGTACCGCTGGGAGAAACTGGGCCCTCTTTAGTCTTTCTGACAACTGCATGTGAATCTAAAATTCCCAAATAAAATTTCAACAGGAAAAAAAAAAAAAGCAAATAGTGCTAACTAAGACACTGGTGAACATGATCTGGACAATTTGGTATTGGGGTTAAAAATAATGTTTTCTTTCCATTTTTGAGAAAAATCTTGCTGATTTGGTATTTAAAAGTTTAAGATGTGAATCTAGACTCAATCCGCCCCCCGCCCCCCGCCAACTCCAGAATTATAAACTGTTCTGCGTCTTCTAATGTCTTCCCGGTGGCTCAGTGGTAAAGAATCTGCCAGTGCAGGAGACATGGGTTCGATTCCTGGGCCAGGAAGATCCCCTGGAGAAGGAAATGGCAGCCCTCTTCAGTGTTCTTGCTTGGGAAATCCCGTGGACAAAGGAGCCTGGCAGGCTACAGTCCATGGGGTCACAAGAGAGTTGGACACGACCGAGCGACTCAAACAAACAACAGGAACAAGGTCTGTGTTTGTGCATTGGTGTGCACGCAGTGCTGTCTGACTCTCTGCGACCCCATGGACTGTAGCCCACCAGGCTGTTCTATCCATGAAGTTTTCTAAGCAAGAATACTGCAGTGGGTTGCCATTTCCTTCTCCAGTGGATCTTCCCCACCCAGGAATGGAACCCATGTCTCTTGGGTCTCCTGCATTGTCAAGCAGGTTCATTACCAGCTTGAGCCATCAGGGAAATGACAATGTATATCAGTTCAGTTAGTTCAGTCACTCAGTCCTGTCTGACTCTTTGCGACCCCATGGACTACAGCACG